CCACGGGCCCCCTGCACCCCAAGGGCCCCTGGGCAGCGGCCCCGCTGGCCCGGTCCGTAATCCGTCCCTGACATGAACAGATTACAATAATCAGGCACACAGGCCTGCTAGAAACCTGAACCTCTGCTCATCATTTTAGGCTTTTGTTGTTCGACCTGCCCCTGCCCCCCACCACAGTATAACAGGGTGCCACAGCAGCTTTGTGGAAGTTTCAACACCCCCCCCCCCCCCCCATCGGGGTAACCATGGTGAGAACACAAACGGAGACACGCTTTCGGGTTGTCTGCCTTCAAGCGGTTTTGTTACACCACAACAAGGGGAGCGAGGAGCATCAGAACACGCCGGATTAAAGGAGAGGACGCCTTGGTGCATGCTGATGAGGGGCCCGCTGACCACACAGAACCAGAACTGCTACCGGCAGCTCATCGAGAAGGAGGCCTACACCCGGCTAGCCTGGAAGATCAAGTATGGCCAGGAATACCCCAGCCGGATCGCCGCCACTTTCAGGGCAAAGAAAGAGCCGGGGCTCCCAAAACTGCCTGCGGCCGAAACTATCCTGCCACCTATAGTAAAGAGGGAAGTGCAGGCAGTCCCAGAACCCAAGCTGGACCTGAAGCTCAAGGCCCCTCTCATGAGGCCAGTCACTCCAAAAACCAGGGAGACTCTGTACGATGGCATCTCCACTGAGGGAAAGGGCCGGGCCTTGTATATGAGGCAGCGTCTGGGGAAAGGTCCGGAAGAGAAGTTTGATCATCCTCAGCTATCGTCCTGGGAGTACGGCTGGAAACTGGGTGAGATGAATGGTTGGATGGATGCCAGTTTGAAGGGACTAGGATGAGTTTTCAAAGAATGTCACCTCAGAGGCCGGCATGTATAGACGGGAAATAAGTGTATTTTTATTTTTTTTTCCAGGTGATTATGGGATAGACTACAGATCCCCAGTCAGTGGACGTTCAGGAATCGTAAGGAGCACGTTTTATGCCAGAAACGGAATATTTAACGTTCCCTCTTCGACAGATTCGCTCGGATAAGCTCCAGGTCATTTTGTTAGTTTTATTTAAAAATATTTCCTTTAACAATTCATATTACATTTTGGTGTAGATCCATTTGATGCAGTGTTTATTTTAGAGTGCAGGTCTCACAGTGTTATGAGTTCTTAAATTTGTAGAGTTATTACAAAAACTTGCCTACTGAAAAATGTGCTTAAAAAATTTAATAAATCTTAAGTGGTTGTGACTTTGCTTTTGATTGAATACCTTGGAATTGGTGTAGATAAACACTTAAACCAAAAAATTAAATTAAATAAAATGAAACATTATTGCATTAAGAGGCTAATGGCTCGCACCAGCAAATGGTTTCTTAGCAACACTGAAACGCAAAGCTGGAATGTGTTGGTTCATAATTAACAAGCAGAGTCATCTTTGACCCCACTCTCTGTGCCAGCTTTAGCTCACCTTTCAGGGCAGTACAGCAAAGTACAAGGTTCATGCTTACTCCTCTGAAATGTAACGCTTTAATCATTATTGCCCAGGCTCTTTAAGCTCTGGCTCTTATTGTGTCTTTGGGGGGCGTGGTTTATCCAGTGAAGGTACCAGTCCTGATGCCCCTCTGGCGGCCTCTGTTGATTGTGAGGGCCACAGGAAAATGGTCACTCACTGCCAGGGCCTTGAGGAAAGAATGCAAGAGCAAAAGAAAACATAACGAATAATCCGGAACAACTAAAACTGGCAATTTCTGCATCATAACAGAGGAGTCTGTGTCTCTCACATTGTAACTGCTGGTTAACCAGCCAACACTTGCAAACATTAATTTCTGTTTAATGTTTAATCTTTTATACTATATTAACTATAGGTTAATATATTAACTATAGGTTATTGGTTGACTATAGGTTATTGCTTCAAGTTGTAGAGTTTCACAATTGAGATATTTCTATGTTTTTTTTTTAGACAAAAGCACATTGAATGAAACCCACTTGTTCCTCTGTGAGTCCGTAGGCAGTCCTGAAGTCAAACACCTCCACTGAGTCTGGGCGAACCGCCTTAATCAAGTTCTCCCCATGCAGAACCACTCTGGCAACAGGAAGGAAGTGTCAGACTGAGCTGTAATCAGTTTTAAACCTTTCTACTGCAACCTAAACATGCAGCTGACTCATATTTTCACAGACAGGTAGTGCTGCCAGTGAATTCTCTGTATGTGTCAGCAGGGAGATCAGTCTGGGATGTGGCTTAGTTCCTTGCATTTTCTCCAAAATGAAAAATGACCTGAATTTGAACCCGCCGTTCTCTTATAGATTTCTGATACGTCTCCCAAGAAAAGGACTGAATATTAAAGGAATTTTAGAGCAGGGAATCAGAAGAGGTTCCTGCCCTGTCCACTTTCCCATTCATTGACGCAGTACTACAGCGTATCCAGGAAAGGTGCACCTCTTTCCTTAATTTTCCTTCAGGGATTTACAGTAATCTGTCTACGCTGTCCCTAGTGACCTGGGAAACACATTACCTATCATAGGCACAGTTTGTGGACTCCTTCACGGTGGTGTCCGTCTTGTCGTCGGTGAGCCACATAAAGCTGCTGTCCGACCGGAGGCGGATGTTCTTCCACTGCTTCTTGGCGACATAGCTGCAAGCCGCGTTGAAGTCTCCCATGAAGATGAAGTTCTGCCGGAGGCCAAGCCGAACAAAAAGACGTGTGTCTCATATGAAAGTGTGGTGGGACATATGAAAAACCATGGAATTCCAATGTTCTCCTTAAAGTGCCAAAATAAAGTATTATTACACTTCATGATAAGTTGAGAGTCTCACTCAAGGTTGAGGATGAAAGGGTCCTTGGAACCAACCTTGATCATTATGAGTTGCTCCCCTGAAAGAATGACCTAATGTGCAAGTGTGGCCCTGTGTTTCAGGAGTCTGTGTGGTGATTGGATGGTTGCTGGTTCAAACTGCATGCCTGGCCCTAGAGCAAGGGCCTTAACCCCAACTGTGCGAGGGATGCTGGCTGAACCTGCTGTCAGATCCTTGGTCGTGCATTACTCTGCAGAAAAGCATCTACCAAATACTTACGTGAACTGTAAGTAAAAGTAAGATCCTTGGCAGGCCAATCCTACCAAGACCTACCTTGGCTGTCCAGTGTTGTCTCACATGTTGATGGACATCATATAGCTTGTCAATCTCTTGCACGGCCACCTCTGGTGTGGTGTGGATGGGAATTATTACAAATTCCTTCACAGCTTTAAGAAGGAACGGCCATGAGTTTTTTCACCTGACATGTTGACTGGTGTAGTTCTATCTTCCATGGAAATAGGTCAAGCGAAATGTAGCCTACCGGTTCTGGGAGATGAAAACCAGATGATGAATGGTTCGCGGGAAAAAGCATCCTCATCTCCAGTCCGCATGTCCGGGTACTGATACCTGGCCCTCACTGACACCAGTTTCCTTCTGCGTTAGTGGAAGAGAGTCTCTACAACTTAAATTGTCCATAAAACTCAGTATCACGTTTCTGTTTTTAGAAAAAGAACCTCAACTTTCAATTTCAATATGAAGAAGAGCTGAGAAACCCAGTAAGGGGATGGATAGAAATCATGTTTGCATGCAGAGAGTTCAGCCACATATCCAGCACATTGAAGAGAACCTGCATAGTGTGTGGCTTTCTGCCCGTGGTGTGGCTCAACACGTTAGAATGCTGTGCCTGTGTTAAGAAGGTTGTTGGGTCACACACCAGGGTCGGCACAGCGATTTCACTATCAGACCCCTCAGCAAGGGTCATAACCCCAATTGCTCCATGCACTGCTGTTTGGCAGAACATGTGAGAACATGTGTCACTTTGGATAAAAATGTCTGCTAAATAAAAGGAATTAGCTGCCGTCATGTGCTCCGGGGAATTCCCTTTAACTAAAAACCATCTCTCAGCAACAAAAAGCCTGCCAGCTGTATTATTTGACCTGATGCTGAATAAGAGCCATTGATTCACAAAGACCCCTCTTTCACACATGGTATTTGTGTTGCTATGAAGGTATTTAAATCTGAGAGCCAAAAGTATGAAAGTTACCTGTAAATAAATCCATATTGTTCCTTGTATGACTTTCTTCCTAATCTCTCACTGATTACATAATCAAACTCCGTCTTCTTCTTACCGAATCCTCTGTGGAAGCTGTGAGAGATGGTCATTTATAATGAGAACCTAAAATAAGCTTTGGATGGGTGACACTTTTGCAGAGGTCACAGGCTACAGATTTTGGCACCATTACCTGTTTATGTGGGCCACAAGCTGTGGAAAAACCTGACCCTTGGCATCTTTGATTTCCATAACGAGCATGATGTCACAGCGAGTGATGCACTGTGGTAGAAGAACATGTTAAGAGGAGCCAGTGTCCCACTTTGAAACATGAACAAACATAAAACAAATTGCTTTACAATGAAGAAGCAGGCATCATTTTATTTAAGATTTTGTATCCTTTTATTTAAGAACTCCGGAATGTAACAAAAATATCAAAGTAAACAGGAATCACTTTGTTCACTGTTCTTCTGCAGAACAGATGTGCTGTAACCTAATTTTATGAACAATAATCATTCATTTGCTTTAGTCTTTTGAAACTATGAAATTAAGTGTGGTTTGTCACTGAACAAAATTAATGGCTATGCCTATTTTTTTGACAGAATCCGTTTTAATTGCTTCATCCACTAGTAAAATGTTTGCACATTTTACATAATTCTATGTCCTCTAAAAGCCATTAATTTTCACTTGCTATTCCCTGTCATAGGCCATAGGCCCATTGCACGCTATGAAATAGCACAGAGCAAAATAAAGGTTTCAGCCTATTCCAAAAGTTGCTCACCTTTGTTATGACCTCCAAAACTTCTGGCTTATTTAGTTTGTTTTCCCCAAAGGACCTTATATTGAATGAACATATTTTCAGTGATGATGTTCCAGCGATGCACAGCGCCAGCAAAAACAGGAACGTGCACATCCCGGGTTTCTAGCGTGCTTGCTCCAGATATAAGCCTCACTAAATGCAACCTTTCGCATTTTCAGAGGAATTTCACTGAACCCGACAATTGGAACTCCGCCTATCTCATTTTCCCTTGTTATGCCTTGTTTGCGCCAAGGACGTTGTCATACCCTATTTGCCAACAGTATGTTTCACTTATGTGTTCATGTGTTAGTGTTCACAATTTTATCATCTGTGCAAGCTGTCATTTCTCTTCTAAGTATAAGCATATTTGTTCATCTACCAAATTATATATATATAGCATTTTTTCATCTTTTATATTTAAGAACAGTTTCTAATTTAAAGTCGAAGCACTAATGGATTAGGTAATCCACTCACATAAAAAAATAATGGTAACAAGACATCCCTGAATCAGACCTATGCACAACTAATTAGAACGCGCTGGCTCTTTTTAGTCGGCATAAATACACGCCGGGCTTGCTTCCCCTTTAAAAGCACTGTAACTGTGTCAGTTCGACCGGCGTTTGAATTGCTATAGCTTGAAGATGTGCCCGTAAAGATACCTGTCTTTTGGAGACAAGCCACCCATTTCCAAGGCTTACACTTTTCTTTTTATTGAAAGATCCGGAGGCGGATAGAAGGTACAGTAAAATCATGTCTATAAATGCAAAGACCATTAAACACAATTTAGCTAGTGTATCTCATCACTGTAAAGCTTCATATAATTGCATGTGTATCTAGACAGAGAAATCGTCATTGCTTGACCCTTATGAAGCTGTTGCTATCGCTAGCGCTTATATACTGTAAATGTCGTTTGATGTATCTGGTATCATTTTAATGTATACGTAAGTAACATGACGCCTGTAGAAAGATGCATTATTTACTACACTGTGACTTTCTATTATTAAAAGTGAAACGTTACAAGAAAGCGCTACACGAGGGATGATCATCGGATGAAATAATAACCATAAATGATTGATTAGAAATCATGAATACATTGCGTTCTTTTGATACACTTTGATACACTACAGTACTCTGCCTGGAAATGCGATTTGACGGCTTGAAGTTTCGTCACCGCAGTTACGCCATGTCCCGAGTTTTTCAGTTTACGGTCAGGTGAAAAGCTTTTCCTATTTTATAGATCGCGACCCCAACCCCCGCCATTATTACCTTCAGCCCAAATAACCCTTTTTTTCTGGGTAACTGCACGTTACACTTCAAGCACTGAATTGTTTATTAATTGAATATTTATGTGGCGCAGTTGTATTGCTGCGCAGGCGATCACCTTTTGCCTGAAATAAATGGCCACCTAATTTTAGATAGACCCCAATCGGAGGAGTATGGTCGGGACAGCAGGTGAAAGAAACGTCAGAGGATCAGGCACTTGAAAAGTAAACGTACTGGCAGACACACTGCAGCCCAAATGCAATAAATTAGCGTTCGTATTTTAAAGAAACTCCCACTTTTCAGTCGTACTGTACTAGTTATCATGAGGAAGTAAACTGTGATTGTAGTTGACGGTCTAACAAGCAGACATAAAAGACACCGAACACACGATTTCACCAATGAAGAAGACGAACCGTTTGCTGTCTGTGCGCTGGCGAGGTGATTGAAACAGGATAAAAGCCTCGCGGTTTCCTTCAGTGATGCAAACACACCTGTGCTGTTATTCAGACGGTCAGCCAGCCGTGGTACTTGCTTTACACATATACGGGTATATTCATTGCATGATTTTTGAAAACAGTTGTGATGTCAAAATTAGAGTTGCAACTATTCTTCGGTAAATTCGATTAAGTGTAAATATATTATATTATTAATAAATAATACATTTAATTTTTTTAAAAATGGAGTTGCTGAATTGCCCTTATAGGTGTGCATGTGTGAGTGAATGGTGTGTGACTGTGCCCCCGTCCAGGGTTGTTCCTTGCCTCGTGCCCATTGCTTCCGGGATAGGCTCCGGACCCCCCGCGACCCAGTAGGATAAGTGGGTTGGACAATGGATGGATGGATGGGTTATACTAACATGGAAAACTTTAATTTCAATATAGAGAGATCTCTGCGAGCTTTGTCATAGCAATGACTCAGTTTATGTTACCTTCAAATATAACACCATGGATGTTTCTGTGCAATCGATAGCTATATATGTAATGTATATCTTACATAATATTTCTCCTAAACAGTGGCTATTGAGGTTCCTTCCAAATTTATTAATAAGTGATATAAGCTTTGCCTTTTTAATTTTAATAATGTATGTTTTTATTTTTTTCAGATGTGGTTAGATGCATTGGTGAGTGAGATATCTGTTGTGTGTGTGTGTGTGGGTTAGTGGGTGTTTGAGTGCATGTGTCCTATGATAGACTGGCATCGAATCCAGGGTGTCCCTTCTGCCTGGAATAGGCCCCAGGCTCTTCGTGACCCAGTACTGGATAAGTGACTGGATGGATAGTTATTCTGCTGTTATTGATTAATTCAGCCAGTGTGTACACTATGGTTGTGTTACCTGAAGGCATGTTTCCTCTATGACCATTAATGCCCAGATGTAACTGCACCTTGGTGGCATTCTGCTGAGCCCCCTCATCACTGCAGAATGTGCCGTTGGGTTTCCTTAGGTCTGAAATGAAATGCCCTACCTCTGCTGGGCTGCGTGTTTTGGATGCGCTAAGGGTGTGGGGAGGACCTCTTAACATGGAGGAGATTAATGCACCAGCTGCTAACTGAGCTCAGAGAGGTTTGGCAGATGGAGCTTAAGGCACCTGAACACATTTAACTGAACCTGAACACATTAAGCCTAACCTGAACACATGAACCCCAGCTGAAACCTGAACATGGTACCAGTGCATGCACACACATTCTACCCAAAGTAATTAACTTTTTTTTTTATATACAAACAGTTGTTTACTGTTTACTGTGTATATCAGTTTAATTAAATAATATCTGAAATAATTATTGCTGCTGTTTGTGGTTTATGTCCTTATTGATGGAGCACTTGTAAAAGTGTGTCAGAATAATTGTGTTGTATTTTATTGTTTCTTATGTTGTTTGCCTTTATTAAAATTGTTGTCATCGTGTCACAGAGTGTTTGTAAGATGTGTTCCAGTTCTGCTAACAAATAAATTCAACAAATTGAGCAAATAGATCATGGAATGACAGATCCATTTGATTAGCCGGTAGGAAAGTAGATAAAAACTTCATAGGACCCCAATTCACTTTTCTGTGGCAGGTATGGGTAAATACAGCAGGTCTGACAATGACATAATTGTCACAGAATAACATTTGTAATTGCAGATTATCCAGTTAGAGACAATGATGCCTGTGTTTTTGCTGCAGGGGGTGTTGGCGATGGAGCTGGATTTGGTGAACATGTTCCTCATCGCTGGGGGAACACTTGCCATTCCTATCCTGGCCTTCATTGCCTCTTTTCTGCTATGGCCATCTGCTCTCATTAAGGTCTACTACTGGTAAGGTCATTGTACCTGATTGGCCAATTGTCTGACATTCCTAAGCTACGGAAAGAGATTTATGCCAAAAGAGTTTGCGTAACAGTCTTGTGTTTTTGCTGTCCTTTCAGTATTCAAATTGAATTATATTAGTTCAAATTCATACTGCATATTTAATTTTCTGGAGCCTATCCCAGCATGCACAGCATACATTAAGCAGAGAACTCCCTGGTGTGTTTATCACAGGATCTACAAAGTCAACAGCAGAATTTAAGACCACATAATCTCAGCTGAGCTTAGTTTATGCCTGTAGAGAATGCTGCTAATTAACATCATGTGCTAATTTTGGCCACATTTGATCCTTTTGAAATTGCACATGAACTCTGAAATTATTTAACTAAGTACTGCATCCTGTCCGGTATATTCCCCTGCCTGCGTCAGTGAGAAGAGTTTGATAGGAGGAGAAATCACTGGATGGACTGAGTGGTCCCACATTCAGAAAAAAGGGTAAAAATTTGTACCTTTGATTGTCACTGGGGCTGTACCTACAAGAGTCTGCCAACTATACCCTTAGCTGTAGGTTATTGTACCTTTTAAGGTACAGAAATGGACTCTGAGGAACATCCCAAAGATACAAACAACATTAATATACAATCAATGTTATCAATCAATCAGTGTTCCTCAGAGTCCATTTCTGTACCTTAAAGGTACAATTATCTATAGCTAAGGGTACAATTGCCAGACCCTTGACAAGCAAAGGTACAGTTTTTGTCTGAGAGTGTAGCCTTCACCTCACTTATGGGGAATATAAGTGTACAGAAATCAGACAGAGAGGACTTAAGGGTTAAGATTAAAATCACAGACACTCTCTCCAGACTTCCGGAATGAACTAGAAACATCAGCTGGTGATGTGAGGCGGTGAGAAAGGGACGACTGTCTTTGCGAGCCGCATGCATTTGAATGTTCGAAATCGTCTGAATATTATGTCACCTTTGGAGAAATGCAGTGAATTTCATTTGTTGCTGTTAGATTGTTGCATTCCCTGGAATCGTCATCCTTTTTACAGAAAGAGGCTGTAATATTTCGCCTTTTGACTTTTGTAGGCACTTTTGCTCTGGGGCAAAATGCATGGTGGGGGTTGTAAACTTATGCAACTTGCTCTGTGGACTTTGGCATGCAGACAGGAACAGGAGCATCCCATCTATGCCAGGGGGGAACTCTGAGGTCCTGGGACTTCATTTGCTGACATTTAAATGGAATTTGAACTTGACCTTAACATTCAGGGGATAATTAATATCCTTGAGAGAGCCGAACAGGTGCTGTTATGTAAATATTACACATCTCTGTGACAGCATTGTATGTGTTATATGATGTTTCTGCACCTGCGTTAAGATTGAAACCCAAAGTCCTCTGATTAGGCATGTCAGCCAGTGACCCCCGGTGATCCCGCTGTTGCTATGGGGACAGGTACTGGAGGCGGGCCTTGGGGATGCAGGTGCGCTACGCTGACAGTGAGGCCTACCGCTTCTGCTACTCGGTGAGGGGCAAGCCGGGAACACGGCCCACGGTGCTCATGCTGCACGGCTTCTCCGCCCATAAAGACATGTGGCTGTCCATGATGAAGGTGAGGCTTCACACGGCACGGGGTCCCGGTGACCCCTGTATGTGGCACTTCTGTGATGCGATTCCTCGATTGAAGGCAACGTAGTACAGTGGTCAGCCTGGACCAAGCAAAACCACTTTACTGAATGGCTGTCAGCTGGCTTCCTCAACTGTGTTTGGAGAGATGATATGCCACAGTGCCTTTATGGTGCTACAAAGGTTCCTTTGATCTGCAGGTGGATCTTCTACTTGCAACAGGACAGATTTAATTAAATTGCATAATAAGTTTATGGACTGATAGGTAGGGAGTGTTCTTGGTGCATGTATCTTCTATTCTTAAATATCTCAAAGACTGAAATGTTAAGATAAAATTATGGATTTGACTCGGACTATTTCCGTTATCTTACTGCTGTACCTTGATATACGATAGCTATACAGTCTTAGGAACACAGTTTTTTTTTTTGTATAGCAGGATCAAATCGCTGTAAGAAGATAGCAGTGTCATGTTTCCGTAGACTGTAATTCTTAAATAGACCCTGTGTCCATTTAAATAGAGCATGTGTCCATTTTAAGCCTGTGCTTTTGTGTCCCTTTTCATAGTTCCTCCCCAAACATCTTCACCTGGTGTGTGTGGACATGCCTGGCCACGGAGGGACCACTCAGACCAACGTGAAGGACTACTCCATTGAGGGCCAGGTCCGCAGGATACACCAGGTGGGCTCTACAGCATGGCCTCGTATGGGATGCTGGTAATCTGGAAATATCAGTCTGCAGAGTATACTCCTTACATCCTTACATAACCACTGTGCCATTATGACATCATCGACCATGTTTTAGTGTTTAAATCCAAAGTAGCTGTTACCTGAAGCAGTTTGAGTACCTTTTCATGGGTAAAGAGAAGATAAACAGCAGTAAAACCAGCCTTGAGAGCAGGACCTGTTTGAATCAGATGATCAGATCCCAATAAACTAGACTACCTGTTTCCATCAAGTCTACCGAATGGACATTTGAAGAGCATAAACCCTGATAAAAGTCCTTTAAGAAAGTAGGCCTATGACCAGAAGGTTGCAGGTTTGAAAATCCTCTCTGGTGGCTGTTAAATGGTGTGTGGCTCAGTGGGTTAGGACTCCAGAACAGAAGCTTGCTGGTTCAAATTCTGTTGTTGGCATAGTGATTTCACTGTTGGGTCCCTGAGTGAGGTCCTTAGCCTTCAGTTGCTGACTGTCTGACTCTGCTTTCTCAAACATACATCACTTCTGATAAATAAATGTAGAATGTTGAGTGTCTATAAATACCTGCATGTATAAATGGTTATAAGTATAATATTGGATGAACGTTGAGGAAGGTATTTTCGCACTAAATGGCTGGATTCATGCAGCGCATATTGTGGAGAAGCAGCAGCGTATGATCAAACAAAGCAGAAATAAAGGCAGTTAAGCTACAGCAGATGTTTGTCCTGCATGAGAGCTGGAAAAAACCTTCAGGCTGAGAGGGCCGAAGTACATTAACCTGGCGTGTTCTCGCAGAAATCCATCCCAAGCTGAAGCACCTGGAGATTCATCATCTCTGTTTATTAATTGACATAAATAATTCCTTTTGACCAGCTCTCTCTAAGGAAAGTCAGATTCATTCATGTTAATGTCTTTGTATTTGTTTATTGTGTTAAGGCTCTTCTTGCCTATTTAAATAATCTAAAGTTACATGGAATGAAAGCTTTTTGTCTTTTTGCGGCACCAGCTTTCCAAGCAGAGCTTCTAAAGCTCTTAGCTAAAGAAGTATAAAGCTGGAAGCCCCCCTGCTCAAATTCAGATGTTTTCTGCTGCACATTATCTCCATGACATTTTAAGATTCTTCCCAAATGGCATGATACATGAATCCTGCCAGCTTTATGTTCAAATTCTCATAGTCAGGATGATGCCTCATTACATTCATCAAAGCAGGGGTTGTGGTGTAACAGCACAGACTTAATGAGGCCGTTCCAGGGCACAGGGCAACGGAGGACCTTTGGTCCTTCACAATATGCTATTTGTCAGCCTGTTCTTTTGATTGGGTCAGACCCCCTCCCCCATTTTGCTGGACTCAATATAGCAAATTGTTGGGTTTTTCTCTATTACACAGCTATTTCGGAGCTCGTTTTGACACTTTACCTTCATAATACAAAAGCTTGTAACTACTCCTCCCCCATCAGTTTGTAGAGACCCTCCGACTCAACAAGAAGCCATTCCATCTGGTGGGGACGTCCATGGGGGGCAATGTGGCTGGAGTGTATGCTGCCTGCTACCCTTCGGACATCTGCGGGCTCACATTGATCTGTCCTGCAGGTCAGTATGGCTTACACCAGCCTTGAGGGAACAGAAGATGCTCATGGCTACATATCGGCTTCCCTCCCTGAATGTGCATAGTGCTGACCTAGCATGAAAGGTACCAAGCAAAGTCCAACTTATCTACCATCCATTTTCTATGGGCGCCACCCCATCGAAGGGCACACTCACACACCAGTCACTCGCACATGAACACCTACGGGTAATTTGGCAACTCCAGTTAACCTCAGCGTGTTTTTGGACTTTGATGGGAAACCGGAGTACCCGAAAGAAACCCCACGACGACATGGGGAGAACATGCAAACTCCACAAATGAAGCCAGAGTAGAGACTCAAACTTTGCTTCTAGAGGTGTGATGCAAGAATACTAACCACTGCGCTGCCAACTGATCACACATTTGAAAATTATAACATTATTAAAAGCATTATAATACCTAAAAATAAAGTTGCTTTTCACCTATAAAGTTAATATCATTATAGTTTAATTGTAGAAATAATAAAATGTATTAAGATGTAAGAACGTGCTTGGTGATAGAATGTAACACATGTAACACTGTAAAGCGTCACATGTAATGCCGATTTGCCCTAGATTTTATTTAAATACAAAGAGGATCACGTCTGCATACTGCAGTCTTGTAGTATCACTGTTCTTAGAAGTGTTTGTGTAACACCTACTGAATGTCAGTTTGTTCTCCCTCATGTTTATCGAGTTGACTGTGCTGGACAGACATTCCAAACTGAACACAAACTAATCCTTTAGTTTAATGCTGGTCATATGTGCTACATAATAACTGACATTTTACTAAAATTCACAGTGAGAATATATTTTTTTCTTTACATTTGTCAGTGATAATTAATGATAATTAAGTATTAATAATGGCTTGGAAGTCCACCTGGCTTGGGTTTCTCAAGTTTGACTCATCTTAAAAGAATAGGGATCTTTTTAATTTTATGCAACTAAATATTTTTTAATCCATTAGTACAAAGTTACTAGTGTCCTATTCAGGATGTTCCTCACCCTTGTGCCCTATGCTGCCTGGGATAGTTTACCTGGGACAAGCAGTTGGATGGATGGATGGATGGATGGATGGAATCATAAAATGCGACTTATTTTCCTCCACATCACGTATGGTTTTCCCGCCCTTCTCTCCTATATCATAGGCCTCAAATACCCCAACGAGAGCCAGTTCATCCAACACCTGCGGGACCTGGAGAAGACCAAGAATATCCACAGCATTCCGCTCATTCCATCCACACCTGCAGAGATGGAGGAGATGCTCAAACTCTGCTCCTACGTTCGCTTCAAAATCCCACAGCAGGTACAGAAGGCTGGACCAGCACGTTCTTCTGATCTGATCTGCACTTGATCTTTCTCAGCTAAAGTACCTATCAATGTCGGATCTGCATCACTTAAAGTGATGTTCTTTTGTCTTCTTTCCCTACGCTAGATCCTTCAAGGATTGGTTGATGTACGCATTCCTCACAACGATTTCTACCGAGAAGGTAACTTACGTCAGCATCCGTTATTTGTTATTTGTGGTAGAATCTGAAGAAATAATCAACAAATTAATCTTTTGTTTTCTTTAGAATTTTGAGGAAACATTTACAAATATACACAGGTACACATGTAAAAAAGACTTAAAAAGTTAACATCCCATTTAACGGTTTTTAATAACTAATTGCATGTTTTATGCTTCCCCAAACATTAATCTCTTTTTTTATAACATTGATCTCTCTGTTTCTTCTCTTGTCTCTGCAGTGTTCATGGAGATTGTAGGAGAGAAGTCCAGACACTCTTTGTATGAGAACATGCATTTGATTACAGCCCCAGTCCAAGTCATTTGGGGAAAGCAAGATCAGGTAGATGCTGCATTGCACATGCATGCAAGTGATAGTGATAACGTTTGTGTTTATTTTCGCTTGGCACTTTACGGAAAAATACGGGGTAACTTGTGTTAATAAATAATTGTCAGAGCTTTGTCTTAATAGACTTCTAGAGTTCACATTCCATCTTGGGATTTGAACTGATGACCTTGTGGTTGGCTTTGGTCCTTCCCTTAGGTGATAGATGTCTCCGGGGCTTCAGTGCTGGCAGAAGCCCTGCCTGGATGCCAGGTGGATCTCCTGGACAACTGTGGTCACTCAGTCGTCATGGAGAGACCGCGCAAGTCTGCCAAGCTCCTAATGGACTTTATGATTAGCCAGCAGAATGCCAGCAATTCGAGCTGCAAAAAGCTTTCATGAAACAGCAGCGGCAAGAAACTTTTCAAAATAATTTAAAAGTGTTTAAATAATATATTAATTAGATTTCTGATCGAATCAGCTCTCAGGGAGTTTCCCCATCTGCCTGATGTCTCATTATCTGTGTTTGTGCTATGGCCATGTAACATACTGTATACATACTGTGTCGGTGCATCATTTTAAATGAGACATAGAATATTTAAAATATGAAGTTCCTTTTATTGCTTTGTTGTTTTACCATGGTGCTTCTGATAATGCTCCTTTGTAAGCCTGATTGTTATTCATATTTCTTTAGCTAGCGACTTTCCGTACAGGGAACACTAGTACACTAGTAGGTTTTCTGAATCTGATGATACAATTTAAGCAAGTAACCTGCATCTCAGAGTAGCTATAATGGAAAGCTCTTCAACCAAAGTTCTTTAACTCAAAAACTGATAAATGCACATGTAATCAGTCAATTGGCTATAGCACAAGCCTATATCTGCTTAATACATTAATGTCTCAAGTAGACTTTAGGGTACAACCTCCTATGTTCAGATTAGAATTAGAATACAGCTCTGGAAAAAATTAAGAGAAATTAAAATTTTTAATTTCACTAATTTCTCAATTTATGGACATGTGCCTGTGTAAAATATACAGTTTTTTGCAAACTGCAGCCAGGCTCTTCTCTGTTTTTCATGGATGAAGGGCTTCTTCCTTGCTTTATGGGACTTAAGTCCTGCTTCTAGGAGCCTGTTATGAACTGTCCTAGCAGTGTGCTTCACACCACTTAATGTTTCCCATTCTCTTTGAAGGTCACTTGAGGTCATCCTCTTATTTATGAGGCACTGTCTCCTAAGTTGGCGGTCATTTCTGGCATTAGAATTTGACATCTTAATTTTTTCCAGATCAATACATGTTCCCCTACAAACTAGTTCAGCTAAGTCACCTATGTACAAGTAAATCCCTTATCTTAAGAAATACTGCACCTTGGTGTGAAATTAGTAATTATTTGTCTACAATTAACTGTTCTTAAAGATTTTAATATTGAAATCAGGGGTCTGAATGTTTAATGACCAGGGTACTGTAGTTAACTTTCAGTTCAGCAGTTTTAGTTTAGAATACTGAGATTCTGAATTAAAAAAAAAAACAAAAAAAAAAAACAGAAACTTGCAAAGCATGGTTCTGCAAATTTCAAAACTATTGAAGAAATACAACTCGGATGATTTTGCAGAAATATTTTAACAGACATTACCGGCATATAAAACATTAAATTTAAGACATGCAGCAAAGGAAAAAATGTGATTCTTGACCTTGTTTAATCTTGCATACAACATAGACTAGTTGCCTTGTTAATTATTTTAATTTGTTCAGAGACAGTTTCACACGCAGAAACTAAGTATATGTGAAAATTAATGCTGTGAGTAAATATGGTATTTTGCAATTTAGGGCAAGCAAATACAATACAATTTCAAGGATTATACACAATCACTGTGTTTAAATATGTACCATGAGCTGGACTGGCATCCTGTTACAGGTGGATCCCTGGCTTCCTGGGATAGGCTACTGGTTCACCGCTACCCTATACTGGATGATAGATGGATGGACAATCATAGGCTTAGCTTAGGATCACTTTACTGTGCCCAAAAGAATGTTGTGACCCTCTCCACAGTATTATTTTAATGTATTGCAAACCTGTATAAGATAGTAAATATGCTAATTTTATTAGAAAAGCAACACATGTTAACAGTTTGCAAACCAGAATTAATAGCCACTGGAACACCGCGGAATGTGCATTAGTGCAAGGGCCCCTGAAAGGATGTGGATGTGTCACCACTAGGTGGCAGCCGTACACCCCAAGGCCTGATAGTCTGCATGTGATTTCTCCCGAAGAAGATGCAGTGCCGTTTGCAATGGTTTGTGGGTATTTAGGCCAGGCGAGTCGGTTTTACGTCCATGCTTGCTATGTTGACAAGGGCGTTCGTGAACTGCTGGGATGTTTTAGTTCATTGGCGTGATGTGCAATTTTTTCCCTCAGTTTAGATTCCACTTTTCTTAATGCAGATTGGTTTTCTATTAGAAAACCTAGTGGTACTTTTTTTATACTTTGATTTATCGTAATGGTTAAAGTTTAATTTGAAGTTGCAGTAGGTAAAAGTTAGCTTGGGTGGTCGTGTCGTACTTTATTACATAAATTACAGTTTCCGTGTGGGTTAAAAGGAGCGCTAACACAAATTACAATTTTCACAATAGGAAAAGCTGTATGAAACGTGTTATTGCTATCGTGTGACCAGGGTGCGTTAGCTGGCAGCTAACAGTCACGTCACGCATAGTTTTCTGTTTAGTTCCCATGCATAGATAAACACGTTATAGGCTGGATCACTGAGTTTCAAGGGGCATATAACATTATGAGGCAGGCTGATCAAAGGCAGGAACCTGCAGCTTACGAACGGCTTGTGTACAAAAACGCCTCCGAATACCACTACATGAAGATATCTCTGTAAGTGTCCGCGCAGCTTCTCCTGATGTGCCGTATTCTTAAATCTAACTGTTGGACATTATGTCAATCAATAAAACACTATTTCATAAGTGGCGTGCATTTGAGATATAATCAGTAAATTTTTAAGTGAAATCAAAAATGCTATTTAGTGTTATTTGGTAACAAGGCACATGAAGGCATCATCCCCAGTGGAATGAAACATTAACTTGCACAAAATAATGTGAAATGAATCGCAGTTGATGACTTTATCTTTACAGAATATTTGAAAAAGAAGGGAAGAGACTCGAAGCAGCTTTTTTCAAGCAATTGATAATCTCCGCCCTCCGGGACCTCTACGGCGAGGTAAACGCTGGACTAATTGCTTTCGGTTATTTCACTCCTTTAGTGTTATTACACCATGTAATAATTTAAGGAATATACCGTACGATCATGCAAATTTGCGTCATTGCTTAAACTGCATTTTTTTTTTACAGCGGTGCTAAAAATGAGCAGGAATAATTACTGAAATTTCTAAATACATTGCAGGTTGGTGCTGCCTTTCCATTTGATGTTTTGAAGTTCGACGAGGCATCGTTGACGGCAATCCTAAGAGTTTACAGCAGGTACTGTTAGTGATTTAATGTGGATATTGTTTATACATCGACTGTTGCATGACAAAAAGGTTGGAGGGTTAAGTTGCATCTTTTTCTCCAGTGGATTGGTGAAGTTGTGGAGTGCCCTGACATTACTGGGGTCATACCATAATGAGTCTTGCGCTGTCAGAGTTACTCAGGTAAATTCATTCTCCACTGATTATTGTATTTGTGTCTCTGTGTGTTTATTCGACTTTTTTCCTCAGCAAAAAACGGCATTAAAATCTTATTTTTTTTTTTTTAGAATATTATATATTCTATGGCCTGTGGGTGGCAGTAATGAGACACCACGGCATCATGACTCAACAGAAACGTGTCAAAACATGTAAACATGTCGGGAAAAGAAAAAGTTCTGTGTATGTGATGGTATATATAGTCATGGTACTGGTGCCAGTGGCTTCTTTGTTTGTGTAGGAAATAGTAGTCCCCAATGCTATGATAAAATGTTGAGGCCATGTAGCTACGTTGTGATTCAAATATTTTTTGTCCTGTCCCTTGCAGGTTTCCCCATTTTTGCTGGCTTTGTCAGGAAACAGTAGAGAGCTGGTGCTGAATTAAGGTGCCTTACTCACGAAACCAATCCAAGATGATGCATCTCATGTTTAGGGTCATACGCAGGCATTTTAGTCACATTAACTGCACAGTCACCTCTCCCTTTGACCATGGAACCAAAGGCGTGTGGCTGCACTCACTTAATCGCAGGCACCTCCATGTTGGAGATCGGGCGTCTCTGACGAAGGCCTTCAGTGCTCAGGACGTCGCTGCCTTCGCCGAGCTGACAGGAGACAACAACCCCATCCATCTCTGCCCTGACTATGCGCGGACGACCTCTTTCGAGAAGCCCATTGTCCATGGCGTGCTGATCAACGGGCTTATCTCAGCCATTTTGGGGACCAAAATGCCTGGCAGTGGCTGCATATTCCTGTACCAGGAAATTCGCTTCCCAGCACCCCTGTACATCGGGGAGGCCGTTTTGGCTGAGGCAGAGGTGAAAAAGATCAAGATGTCATGTGCCCTCATCTCTGTTTCCTGCTCTGTGAAAGACAAAGTGGTGATGGAGGGGGAAGTCATGGTGCTGGTGCCAGAGGTCAGGAATAAGGCCTGAGCGTCACCATAATGGGCTGGGGAAACGAAAGACACCATGTTAAAGGTTCCTCCTTTGTTTATGTAGGAAATAGTAGTCCTCCCCCCCCATGCCCCCGTCTGTTCTGAAAAAAATAAAAATATGTGAATTAACTCTGGAATCTTAAGCACTGTTAATCATAGTATAAAGACTTTTGAAATGACTGAATAATATAATTGTTTGGATATATTATGAAATCTTTTACTAGGTTTGTGCTTCAGTGTTTAGCTGTTTTTTTTTTGTTTTTTTTTTGCTTTTTGTTTGACTTGACCTGTGTCAAACCAACACAACTTGTCAACCCATGTTGTGAAGTGTATTTCTAAATTGTATGAAAATAGTTTGCATCACAGGAACAAACTAGTCAACTGTATTTGACAATATATTCATAATGTAATAAATATATATACTTATGACAGCTATTATGGGATTATGATTGATTTTTTTTTAATGCAAGTAATAGTTTTTGTAGGTTTTCCGTCGTATCTTCTGTTTCAGAAGGAACACTGGAACACTGTGTTTGGGGGATAAATGGGAAAACGTAGATTTTTCTGACCATCATAAACAGTATTGTAAAGATCTAAGTGACAAGGTTTAAATATTTCCTTATCCACATACGCTTATAGTCGCCTTTAAGGTTTAAGTGTATTTTATAAGACTCATTTGCTGCCGGTTCCGTGCCGCGGTCCCGGTCGCTGCTGGCGCACCCCGTTTCGGGCCGGACCTGGCCTGGCTTCAGCTTCGCACCTCGGGATCATTACGCGCTTCCGCTCAGCAGCTTAATGAAACATCACACAGTCGCCCGGAGCTCCGTCTCTCCGCCCCTCAGACGCTCCGCAGGTTCTGGCCGGTACAGCTCCGTATCCGGCCGGGGCTGCCGATCCTCCTGAACTGATCCCGCATAGTGAAAGCTGCTGGAAACTTCCGCCGTTTTCGTTTTTTTTTATATATATATATATTCTTCCCCCATCTTTCTCTCTCTCCCTTTCTTCCTCTTTTTTCCTCCCACTGGAATGGCGTTCCTGGACAAGCCGTCGGTGGCGAAGCTCCGGCTCGACGACACGGTGCCGCTGACGGCCGTGATCGAGGCGAGCCAGAGTCTGCAGTCGCACACGGTAAGCGGCGTCGGCGTTTCCCCCACTGTCCAACGGGCTACAGCAGGGCCTCCATACGCGGAGCAGCCGCCAAGCGGTGCCCCGGAGCCGCCTGCCCGTGCTGCGCGACCTGACAGGCGGCCGGGTCGCGGTACGAAGCCCGGGTTTCTGACTCTCCATCCCGGATCGCCGGACCTGTCAGTTGACTTTGTCTGTTTGCCGTACCTGTGAGACTCGGGCTCGGCTGGCAGCCGAGCTGGTATTTTTTAAATGCCATGTTTTCCAGGTTTTGCTTGCATGTTTAAGAGATTATTAATGCTTAAATTGACTGCCTGTTCGATATTTCTGAATATCTCTCTTTCAGTTCCCGCATGACGTGGGCAACATTAAATTCTGGATCTTTATTTTGCCCTGGCAGAAGTATCTAGTAATCGGGTTTTGCTTATTTTTTGTGTTATTTAGTGCATAGGTGTTATTGGTGCGTAAATTTCCTTATTCCTTATTGTTACAAAGAGTATTTCTCACCCAGTTGCAGTTCTGAGTTCGTGATCCGTGTTTAGTTTCTGAAGTGATGGGTTATGCGGAAATCGAAACTGTAAAACTTAGTGTAGCTCTGCGTGTGAGAGGTTTGTAAATAACGATCATTGATCCTGCACGTCCTTCAACCCTGAATTTGCGCCCAGAAGGTCTGGCATGAAAAGTGCTGATGTCCATATTGTCAGGATATAGAGTATGCACTTATTAGGGCAGTTTTGGTGTCGCCGTTTTCCTGTAAAGCAGAATCCAGAATAGAAATTGTAGCTTATTTCTGTAAACTTAAGCAAAATAGTTTTTATAAACAAAGTCTTCCTGTACAATTCTCACATTATTATTATTATTTTTTTAGTTTTTTATTCATAGTAACAGGATCAGACCAGAGAGCCTCTGTGTTTGGGTTTAAATGATGTTTTTGTGTCAGCGAAATTGTCACTTTTGTTGAGGTTTCAGAATTCCTGTTTAGTCATGGGTTTTGACATAAAGGTCCAAATTAGTGTAAACAAAACAGTAAGCTCCTGTTCCGTACGCCGCATCCCTCATTGTCATTATTTACATACTACTCTAAAAAGTAGAACTACATTATGGGATATGCCCTCCAACTAGATATAAGCAGAATAAGAACTGGCGTTACATATTAGGTATTAGATGTCACAGTACAACCTATAATTAAACAATATACAAGGTGTCCATAAATTCTCTTTACGATTTCAAAAATGTATTACAGAGGCAACTCATCAGATTTGTTCCATGTACTTAGTGGTTATCAAAGTTTTTAATCACATTGCAAACAAAGGTAGGGGACATCACTAATCTAAAGCAGAGGATAACTGATGCCATTGCCACCAATGATGAGGGTATGTTACAGCGAACTTGGCAAGAAATCCAGTACCATCTTGATGTGCTTCGTGCGACTAATGGTGCCCATATAGAGGTGTATTAAATGAGGCAAAAAAAACTTAAATATATACGTCTCATTTTGTAATAATTTCCACATATGTGACTTTTCATTTGCCTTTGTAATACATTTTTGAAATTGTAAAGAGACTTTATGGACACCCTGTATATGTATATAGGTAGTGGTCACGAAGTGCTTGTTCCTCGGACAAAAACAATTCTGATCTTAAACCGGATAATTCCTCATTGTTTTGTAGCCTAATTATAGTTTAATGTAAAATTCAGCAAAAACACTTTATATACAATATTTGCACCAATTTTGTTTACACGGGAAGAATGTTGATTGGTCTCTGCGAACGACAGGCGTTACGACCCATTAATAGTGCAGATTCAAGAGTAAATATTAATCAGTAAGAGTTATTCTTGACCGGGAATGTCTTTTGTTCCTTGTTATGTTCTCTGTATATAATCCCCATGGTACACTGCATGCCAGTTTGCACTGTTTATTACAGAGTTTCTGTCCTTTTTGTTTGTTTCTCGATCCTGTATGTGGGACATTTAAAGGCAACACGACCAGTTTGTGACCTGTGGAGTCACGCAGGTGACGTTGTTTCTGATCGGTTAATGTGTATACCAGCATAATTCGAACATGCCTCCACATTACAGGCCAGTCAGGTCTCGTCAGTGTTAACCATTTACACTATCCCTGTGTAACACGCTACCTTCCAGGTCACGTACCATAAAGAATGTAATTAAGGGCACAATACGGTTCTGAAAATGGGGTGTATTTATGTGTGTGAGAGAGTGAAAGGCTACACTGTTATCACAAGCATTTGGTAGCAGGGAGCAGCACAGACAGAACATTTTATGAGACTGTTTCATTGTCATTGCTCACATGATTGTCATTGGCCACATGCGGGCATGCGAGGGGTGGAATTGTATATGTACTTTTTGTCAATCTGAATGATTAGGAACTATTTTTTTCATTTTCTTTTCCAACCAGGAATATATCATTCGTGTTCAGAGGGGTGTTTCATCAGAGAACAGTTGGCAGGTAAATTTCTTTTTATTGCAATTTGGTATTTTAACCTTTAAAATGAGAACTTAAATGTTCTTGGTGTTGTTTCCGAGCCTGTTGCTGTTTGTTTTTGTATATCGCTTGTTTGAATTTACATTTTGTTAAAGAAGTGAGCCTTTACCCAAAAGTCAGTCAGGCACAATGTTCACAATAATTGAGCTTTGTTCATTGTACCAACCACTTTGACCTAAATATTTTCAGGTCATAAGGCGATATAGCGACTTTGACATGCTGAACAACAGCTTGTTGGTAAGTGTCTCTCTTTTGACTGTGATCGGGAACCATGCTCACTGATGTAGGTGGTGTTCGCCGCCTTTAATTTCACACCCCCCCCCCAAAACTCACCTGGGGCAAATGAATGCCTCTCCCTCTCCCTGCAGATCTCTGGGATCAACCTGCCTCTTCCGCCCAAGAAGTTGATAGGAAACATGGACAGGGAGTTTATCGCTGAAAGGCAGAAGGGCCTGCAGGCCTACCTGAACTTCATCACCTCGCACCACATCCTTTCCAGCAGCGAGCTGGTCAAGAAATTTCTGGACACTAATAACTACTCTGCAAACTACACGGGTGAGACCTGAGGAGGGTAGATGGTGTCAGCAAGGTTTGCTGAAGCTGTTTGGGTGGGTTGGCCCTCCGCTCGGTATAACGGTTTGTATTCTAGCCAAACCAAATCATGGAAGGTTCTTATTTTGTGCCGAGTGAGCTTTGCGTGTTGGCCGTGTGTGGCTCAGCAAGCTGGATTGCTTTGCCCATGATTGGAAAATTGCTGGTTCCATCCCCGAATCAGCAGACTGATTTTGCTGTTGGGCTCTTTAGCAAGGCCCTTAACCCTTGGTTCCTCCCAGGGCTACCTGTCCCTGCACTCTCAAAGAAAAAAAATAATGTTGGAACAAAGCATCCGATAACTAAATTTAAATCTCATAGCTTTTGGATAGATTATTGGCGCACGTTTTAGATCGTCCTTTCCCCCCTTCTTTATTTACAGAAATAGCTTTACAGCAGGTGTCCATGTTCTTCAGATCTGACCCAAAGTGGGAGGTAGTGGAGCCTTTGAAGGATATAGGTGAGTGTCTCCTTTTCAGCCTGAAAGTGCCCTGCTGCATGCTGGGAAAATGTAGGCATGTAACTGGCCAGCTGCAGATGCATCAATGCTGTCACCTTTGTTTTATTAAGGCCAGACCCGTTTCACAAGGCTTAGAGTTTTCTAGCATCACTTACAGGATGTGGCCTTTTTAAAGAGACATGCGTCAGCACATTTCCAAAATTAATTCTTTTTTTGCTGTTTCTGAGATCATCAATGACCTAAAGACAGCCTTCTCCGAATATGCTGCAGTTTTCACACACTCCTCATGTAGTGCTGCAAAAAACTTCCGTGAAATTTCCAAAACTCACTGAGTTCACAGAAATTCTCTTAAACGAATTCCGTCGACTGTGTGAGGTTTAGAAATTTGCTCTTTGAGTTATTACTTATGCCGGCGTCTTTGGGGAGCAGCTTCTGAAATAAGAGGGTAACGGTTTCTCCTCTTTGCGTGTTAGGCTGGCGGATACGGAAGAGGTATTTTCTAGTGAAAAACAAAGAACAGCCAAAGGAACGACAAGTCTTAAGCTGGGTAAGTGCCGCTTTAACCAGTACTGGTTAGGAGCCTGTGTAACAGGCCTCTCCACGTGTGAGACCTAACCCAGATCTACCTTTCCCCATTTTTTACGCAAGATGCAGATTACGTAAATAGCTGCAGCCAGTTATGATCGTTTGCCGTTACCCTCTGCAGCACTTACAAAACTCCCAAGGTTACTTTTCACTTTGGCTTTGCTGTCAAACTTTACATGTATATTTACTATGACACAAGATACTGTAAAAATGTTGATTCATTCTCGTAATTGTCGACCCAACACACCACCCAGAGTGATTTCACCCTTGAGCAAGGCTCTTAAACCCCAGTTGCTCCAGGGCCTGGGTGACCTCGCTTTACATTGATTTTGATAACAGCATCTGCTAGATAGATTTTAAAAAGTTCATTTGAGTATTTGGCCGCTTGTTTCGCATCCCTGTTTATCTTGATGCCCCATACTTGTCTTAACCTCTTCAGGTTGACCTGGGTCCTGATAAATTCCTGTCAGACAAGGACCTTCAGTCTGCGATGAAGCTCCTTCCCACAATCTCGGTAAGGGCCGACTTCCTCTTTTCCCGTTCTTTATCTATCTTTATCTACCCCCAGCCCCCCCCCCCCCCCTCTCTTGGGAGCCTGTGGGCATTTGAGTGTTTAACCAGAAGGCATAGATTACACTTCAGCTGTGAAGTAATTTCGGTGGGGCTCGGTGACACCCAGCCGACGGCCGGGATGCTGGGAAGGTGCCGCTTTCTTCAGCGATAAATGCTTCACTTTTTCTACACTTTGCTCTTCCCCACCCCTGTGTTCATCACACTGCTGCAGTTTCATCTCTGTCTTCAAGGAATTATGGGAAAGTGGGCCATCATTCTCCTGATACCTTAAACACGAATACAAGCCCAGTGGACAGACAGCTTTTATATTGTATTGCATAGTATTATTTAGACATTTATATCATATTGGTTGCTCTTGTATTGATTTGAACAGCTCTTCATTCAGGTTCCTGTTTTGTGTGACTCAGTCGGTTAGGCCTCTGTGCCTCAGCCTCGACCCTCAAGCAAGGTCCTTAACACCCCAAAATGCTCCAGGCGCACTAGAAAAATGATTTGACCCTGCACTTGGAACCTGAGCTTTAAACTATGTGGTCATCTCAAAGGAGAGCAAGCTAGAATAGGCGATAAGAAGCATTCCAGTGTACCTGTACTCTTTTACTCATAATGGATCATTTCATCATTGTATTTCAAATGCATTGTATAGCTCTTGCTCCATTGCTAACTTGTATCTATTACTGTTCACTCTTTGGAAGTTCAGTCTAGCCACAATTATGCCTAGTTGGCTCCTTGACAACCATATCCTTGTGATGCACTATCTGCGCCTCTTCTACATCACTTTGGACAGAAGCATCAGGAAAACAAACAAATGCAAATGCTCCGTCCTTTTCTGGTACTTAACGCATGGATGTTTTTCCCTTAGAAAAAGTCCCCGATTCCATTTCTGAAGAGTAACCACGACGTGCCTTACCATTCGCGATCTTCCGTCGTCTTTCCCCTAATAGCTTGACTGCTCTCCAAGTTAAAACACGGTTCCCTTTTGAATCGGTCCACTTTATTGATTTATTACTTCCCTCTCTATATCCTTCCAGAACCCTTACATCTTTCCTGTGACCTTCGCCAGCACCAGCGAGTCCTCCGCCCTGCTGATCCGTGTCTTTAGTGAGAAAGGCACGTTGCGGGATCACATATGTAAGGTGAGGCTTGTCATTCTTTCTCCTGCCTTTCGGACACGTGTGATGCCCTACGGGATTTTTGGAAACACACAAAGCTCCTTTTCGATCCTTCCGTGTTCAGGTTCCTCTTCTCCGTGCTGATCACCCTTTTCACCCAGTGCTATTTTGGCCAGTAAGGAGTGTCTGCCTCGCTTGACCAGCTATACAGTTGAATGTGTGATCGTCGTTCACATACTGATAAAGATGAGATCAGCTATTTTCTGTTTTTTATGTCAGCCTCCCATTTGACACTTATTGCCTATTGCCCCCCCCTGCACCTGCGGCACAAGAATTTCACTGTGTTCCTCAGAACACGTGACAATGAAAACTTGACACTCAAAAATAGTGCATGTGAATTTACACTTGCAGTGGTTAATTATCTCACTCGTATTCCTACGCGTGTTGGCCTGGGGGGTCCAAGCACTGTACCAGTGTTTGCTCCCCAACCTGACCTGACTTGAGTTGTATTACATTTATCATGGATCTGTTGTATCTTCTAAAAATGGTGGACCTTTCATGTGTTACTCTGGTTGTTCTTGTCATGCATTCTTTTAAATGGGGGAATGGGGCACTGTTGGGTGTTAGTGTCTGCACTGGCTGTCGCACCTGCCAATCAACAGCAATTTGGTTATGTTGACGACTTCCTCTGTTCCCAAGGTGAAACCCAGAGAACCCTTCCTGAAGAAGTACTGTAACCCCAAGAAGATCCAGGGCCTAGAGCTTCAGCAGATCAGGACGTTCGGAAGGCAGATACTGGAGGTATGGTGACTATACGCACTGTCGTCCCCATACCTCAGCGCTGAATGAATGCATCAGTTAACAGTCATTTTCTGGGTTGGAATATCATAGTGATGTTTCACTGTTGTTTGCCCATTTAGTTTTTCCCTTCCCCAGAGTTGCATGGCCAGTGTAAACTCTATAAAATACTGTCCATATAAATGACAGTCTGTTGTGATTCTGTGTCGGTCTTATATAATGGCTTCTGGTTCCCCTGTTTACTGTCACGAACATACTTTCCACAGTCATGGCATTTCAGTGTTATCTTGCATTTCATCAATGTCTTTTGTCTCCCCGAACATCAACCCTGTACAGATAGTCTGCTCCAGGTTACAACTTGCAATGGTGACTGAAAAAATCCAGCATGGCATCACAACCATTCCGAAACTTGGTTCAAAATTAACTTTGTTATCCTTCCTAAATCAGGTCCTTAAATTTCTTCATGACAAAGGAATCCCTTATGGACATCTCCACGCTTCCAACGTCCTGATAGAAGACGACACGTGCAAACTCCTGGACATAGAAAACTCGCTGCTCGGCCTTCCTTCCTACTACCGATCTTACATCACACAGTTCCGGAAAATCAACGTAAGTTACTGCTGGTATTCTGCTACTTGGGGCAGCATGTGGCTCAGTGGCTTAAGACTCTCTGCTCATAATTGGAAAGTTACAGGTTCAAATCCCAGGATCAGCAGAGTGATGTCACCATTGGGTCCCTGAGCAAGACCCTTAACTCTTAGCTCCAGGGACTGGCTGACCCTGATTTCGCAAAAATGTACATTGAATAAAAGTGTCTGCTAAATAAATGTAGCTAGTTAGTAAATGTAAGTAGTAGTAACAGCTAAAAGTGGATGCTGTGATTGGTTCTTACCAGAGGTGGAGATTTCAGGTCCAGAGAGTAGAAATCTAGACAAAGATTTCGTTTCAACCAACCAGTTGATTACTATGGAAGCCCGTTTCCGACAGGTAGTAAAAAAAATATAAGCCACGGAATCTCGCAATTGCGACTTAGTAAGTCACAATTCCGACTTTATATCTCGCAATTGTGACTTTATATGTCGCAATTGCGACTTATAAAGTCAGAATTCTGACTTTAGATCCCGCAATTGCGACTTTATATCTCGCAATTGCGACTTAGTAAGTCACAATTGCGACTTTATATCTCGCAATTGCGACTTTATATCTCGCAATTGCGACTTTATATCTCGCAATTGCGACTTTATATCTCGCAATTGCGACTTTATATCTC